ATAACAACGAACGTCAATAATACTTCTGACTGCAGTTTCCATTACTCACTATCTACCCAGACACGTTACATTCCCCTCTTTTACATACCCGCCTACACTATATCTAGTAAGAACTAGAACATTCGCCAAAGTACAGGATAATTCTAGATAGTAGAGAGCGTGAGAATCACATGATCTCGATGACGCAACAATACGTTTCAGTTTGCTTTTAGAAGCACCAATATATTTGTCTTATATAGAATGATATATACAAGCACGTGTGCTCGTATTTCCTTTTGTTTTCCTTTTCAGGGCAAACGTATACAATAGGCTACCTACGTTCTGTCTACAACAGGTTTCGAAACACGGATTTCAGCGCTCTAGGCCTATAGTTCGCCGCTTACCTACTAGGGAACATTTGTATTCTAAATATATAGGCAAGATATTTTATTTTAAAATTTCAGATTCACTGAATTAAGTATAAAATGAATTTGAAATTAAGTCAAATATTTAAAAAAATAAATTAAATAATTTTACTGACGTTTGCTTGAATTTTCTCTGTTTTTGTGTGTGTTTTTTTTTCAAGTTCTGTGATACTGGAAATTCTGAGTGGGTTTTAATTAAACTGCTGGCGAATGGGAAACCTGTTGTCAGTGGTGTTTTTGAGTATGTTATTAGTGTTGTGGTATTTTCCTAAAAATGGTAAAGCTAAAATGAAACTGTAATCATCGACATGTAAACCTTGTTCATTGTAAACGTTAAAAGGTTATTTCACTTCTATTAATTTTTAGTCACCTTTAATTTTTCAAACACAAGCAACAGACTTAGAAGTTAGATTTTTGATGATGTTGAGAATCGGCAGTAAGAAGGACATGAACAGGGAGTACTCGTGTACCATTAGGCTCATCGATGATAACGAAGTAATCGAATGCGCATTTCGGGTAGGGTTATGTTCATAATAATTTTAGTTTAGTGCTTTGTTTGGAATTTAAACAAAAATGAGAAGATCTAATTCGTAAATAGCTTCACAGTTCAAGTAACAAAATTACATTTTGAATTATTTCTGTACTATTGTAGTGAAATATTACTCCCCACCCCCATTGTAACTTAACAATTAGGTATATGAACAGTGAAAGTGAAATTCGGTGAAAAATAAAAAAATATGAATATTAATTTTGTCTGTTACTGTTAGTCATATAATTTTATTGTAAATTAAATGTGATTAAAAAAAATCCTATTATCACCCAGTCTTATCCATGTAGATGACCATGGCATAAGAATTTGGGGGTAATTTCTGCCCTACAATTAACTGCTGTTAGTGGTAAATGTTGATTATTTATAAACTAATATTAATAATAAATTATTTCTGTTTGTTACTACAGCGAGACCACAAAGGTCAATATCTTCTGGATTATGTATGCAGTACCCTAAACCTAGTGGAAAAAGACTACTTTGGGCTTCGATATGTAGATCTTTCTAGACAGCGGGTAAAAACTATAGTATATATGCTTTGTATACAAATAAGTATTGTATATATGCATTGGCAATTTAGAGCTTTGTTTTAGATTTAGTTCATTACTATTGTTGGTAAGGGTGATTTTTAAAACTTCAAACATTTGAAATAAAACTTGACATATAAACAGCTATGACATACTTGGAGGGGGGGTTAGGAGTTTGGTTGAAACCCCTATTTTTGTTATGCAAGAAAATTATGCTCATATAGCTATAGTGCAACTGCTTATGGTATTTAATATCTTTGAAATAGTTTACACTCTTGTGATGAAGCATTAGCATTTTTGGCTTGAAATAGTCACATGCCTTCAGACTCCTGTAGAATTAGTAAGCTTTGCATGTGTTGGCTTTTGATCTCACAAATTAGACCCCCCTAAAACATTCTGCATATGGGCTTGACATCCCTCTTTGATTGATTGTATTGAGTAAGATGACCTTTATAGGATGAATTGCTTTTTGTCATCTGACACTTTTTAAATATTCTTAATCTCTTACATAAAAAATAATAACATTTCCATTTCTAAACATTTTTACATATAACTAATATAATGAACAAATGCAGTTTCTTGTACTATTTGAAGAACAAAAGACTCCTTGGCCCATCCTGGCTGTTCCATTAATTTCATCAATCATCCATCTGCTTAAGTCCAGCCATATTGCATTGACCACTTCTGAATACAATCTGTTTTAAAGACTGGCCATTTTTTTTGAAAAATAAAATTGCTAATTTGCAAATGGCTTCTACCCTTCCAAATCTTAAATATATAGCCCCTAACCCTACCACTCTTACCATTAAACACTAAAAAAGATGATCCAATGATCTTATTTATCCCCTCCTTTTATGATTTTGGTAACCCTCTTCTTATCCATCTTTAATCAAAAGAAAATTTTATAGATATTAACCTGACCTCATATGACAGTTCTTCTATCTCAGGAATCATCATAATAGCACTTCTTTGCATCCTCTCTAACAACTTAGTGTCCTCTTCAATGTAAGGATCACAAGACTGAACACTGTACTCCAAATGAGGCTTAATCAGGGAACTGTATAAAGAAACAATAACCTCCTTTGACATAAAATTAATATTCTTGTATACATAATCCAAAATCCTGTTTGCTTGCCCACTGGCAACAGCATACTCCCTAGAAGGCTTTAGAGACTGATCAACCAAAACACCAAGCTCCCTTTCTTCCATAACACTATTGAGTTAATTGTCATCAAGGTTATAATTATAATTTCAATTAAGGTAGCTCACATGCTTTACCTGCCCTTAACTTAATTGTATTATATCTGCCATTTACTTGCGCAGTTTATGAAATGATCCAAATTACTTTATAAAACAACATGAAAACTTTGATATCATCAGCAAACTTGACCAATTTGTTTACCATTCCCTTATCAATATTTTCAATATATAGTAAAAAACAGTAAGGGTCCAAACATAGTAACTTAAGGCACTCCACTTACAACTGAAACCCATTTTGACTTAATTCCATTTACTACAACCATCTGCTTCCTCTATTATAACAAACTGTTAATCTGTCAAGCTAACTTATCTACAACACTCACAGTGATAATTTTCTTTACGAGTCTTTTATGTGGCACTTTCGTGAAAGCTGCCTTAAAATCCAAATATATCAAATCCAGACCTTTACCCTCATCAACATAAGCAAGACATCTTTGAAGAAGGTCGAAAGGTCTGTGAGACAAGATTTTTCCTTGTGAAACCATGTTATATGGATTTATAAAGCATTTTTAATCATTTTCTCCAAAAAATTTTACCACCTGTTTTCTGATGATATTAAGGTCTTAAGTGTTGCTAGCTATGCAAAAATATTGAATATAAGTTTGTAAAGAGGTTATCATTATATTATGTGGGTCCTTGTTAAGCTGCATTTGGAGTATTATGTTCAATTTTGGATACCTTACCATAAGAAGTATTGGAAAAGGCCACTAGAATTATACTTGAGATGGAGAGGTTGTAATACAATGGAAGATTAAGATCTATGAAATTGTTTTCTCTTTAAAAAAAGTTAGAAGTGATCTGATTGAAATATTAAAGATAAATAAGGGAATTGATAGTATCAGTGTATCTTTTTAGTATTTAATGGTTGGAAAAAGGATCACAACTGTAAATCTTGGAAGGGTAAGAGTCATCTTCGGCTTGCAGTTTTACTTTTCATACAGGTGGTTGGTCTTTGGAATGGGCTGCTTTCAGATGTAGGTGTGGTAAATTTCAGGAAAAGCTCAATAAATATATATTAGGTCATCAAGAAATTTATGTTGCTTTTTTTTCAGATTAAAAACCCTGAACAACTTATATATCAAAACAAAACATTTATTAAATGAAATAGTCTCTATTCTTATTAATAATGCTTTTCCATCTTACAAATCAGGTTGTTAATGGCCTGATTAAAGAAATCACTTAGCTTTGAAGCAAAGAACATGTCGATATCCTTTTTAACACCTTCCACATTTGCATACAATTTCCCATTAAGATGGTGTTGCAGCAAATGAAAAAGATGGTAATCTGATGGTGCCATATCTGGAGAATATGGTGGGTGGGGGGAGAACTTCCCAACCCAACTCCATAAAATTTGTGTTGTGTCAAATGTGTCACGTGGACGTGCATTATCATGGAGAAGAAGAACATCTTTCCGATTGACAAATGAAGGGGCATTTCTGATGAAGGGCTGGATTTAAACATTCCAGTTGCTGACTATAGATCTCTGCATTGACAGTTCACTGTGGATTGAAGAGTTTGAAATGAATTACTCCTTTGATGTCGCACCAAATGCAAAGCATCACTTTCTGCAGATGGAGTCCAGGTTTTGGGGTCGGAAGTGGTTTTTGTCTAGGACTGAGCCATTGTTTTTGGCATTTAATATTCACATAGAGAATCCATTTTTCATCGCCGTTGACAATTCTGTCCAAAAATGGTTCATGCGCATTACACGCCAGAAGAGATGAAGCAACGTTCACACGTTGGAAATGATGATCATTGTAGAGTTTGAGAGGTACCCAAACACCTTCTTTATGGAATTTTCCCATATTCTTTAGATGTTTACATATTATTTCATGAGAGACATGCAATTTCA